GTACTGCTGGGTCAACCGGTGGAAGCGAAATGTGATCCTAAGCCTGAATGCGATTCTTCAACTGGAGAATACGTAACGCAGCATAGAAACGTTGCAACAAGAACAACCGACCATTCTTGGACCAGATATAAGCAGAGCGTAAACGGTCAGTGGGAACACCTCCAGACCGATTGCAGAATGAGCTGAGGAAGTTCGCTGGATCAAGACGGATATGAATCGCAGTAAACAGAAGTATAAGGCAAAGTCTTGGAGAGGCTTTCGTTAAGCAGTGGAATGAAAATGATAGTTGCTGGCGATACTTTAAATACTATTAGTCTTATGTACTTAATCCTACTACATAACAGGTAATTCGTCCATACGTGCATGGACTGAAACTAATTCGGTGTTCAGTCCGAAGCTGTAATCTTTCGCTGTGACCACGCAATAATCAGTTATTGCAGCTAGAGCACGCTATGTTTGTTCTATACGTCAGATTAACAACAGCTCATTAACTGAACCAGCAGAGAAAGCAGTTACGTAGTCAAAGCCTTTTACACACGCAGGATGTGTTATCTGAGCTGGAATCTCTGCAAAACTGGAAGAAAGGGGAGTGATCCAACCAGAGCTTTAACCTGGAGTGAAAATATGAACACATGATCCGTTTCAAGCTGCAAGAGGAAAGATTTTTATCGCTAAATATGTCAAAATCCTGGTGATGTTCCCATGGTCACTCGCTCGGCGACAAATTGTACATGCAACCTTCACTTAACTGATACTTCACTAAATTTGTTTGTTTATCACGAGAAGCTGCAAGTCAATGAATTGTAACATCAACGTTTACCATCATCAAACTACTGCAGTGAGAAATTTGCATATTTTGAACTGTTTAATGCAGCTACATTTAATAAAGTCCTAAAAGTAAAAATTTTATTATTGATACAACATCGTCTTGAAACTGAACGCCCCTCAGATATTCCCATCGGTACAGTCTGTAGCGAAGGCAACGAAAGGCTCTGCAGCTGCAGCCAGTACAGCAAGAAATTCTACACAGAATGTGGTGACTCTACTGAGGACGATGACAAGCCCAATTTTTATACTCCTTGCATGAAAAAGCAGCATTTCTTGCAACACTGGAAAAGCCTCAAAGCGAATCTTTCAAGGTAGAGAGAAAATGATTTTTGGGTCAAGTAGCCGACTGATGTCAGTAGGGATAGATGACAAAGTGAAAACCGCCGTGCTATCACTTGATCGAGGACCGACAGATATCCGCAATGTCTTGATCTTCGTTCTGAAGAAAGTAGACAAACCTTATCAACTCGGTGCAAAAGAAAATGTTCTCAAAGCATTGTACAGCCGCATTCAGTTCGAGCCCTGTTCAGACATTATCAGTGAATTATCAGTCGGACAAGCTTAGCGAAAAGAGTTTCAGAATCCAAGGCTTTCCCAAATGATAAGTCCTTCGTTTTGTCTGAGGATTTTATGAAAGTTTATTCCACTCACAGAATGAACAATCAAATCGATCATTTAACAGAGTTTTTCAAGTTCGGTTATAAAGACGAGAGGAAAAGTATGAAATTAGGGCCAGTGATTTATTACGGTAAGACCACAAACAGCTGCATCGACTGCGATACAAAAAAGACGCATCAGGAACTTTTGATCGTTTACTGGAACAAAGGTGTTCAGCGAGAGTGAAATGAAGCGTGTGAGGCCAAAACTTGCTTCACGGCGAATAATGCAAAACGTAATGCCAACGATTTCAATGAAGAAAATACAACTTTTTCGGCTTGAAATTGACTATAGCTTCCGCGAGTTAAATGAATACCTTTTCAACATCGGCATACACTCATTTCATGACAGTTAAGCACTTTAGGCAATGTCTTATTTGCTAGAAACAGTAAAAAATTATAATTGATTTAAAAAAGATTTACGGGGTTTTTTGAGGAACTAAGGTTGTTTCGTTCATTCGACAAACGTCATGCAAGAACAAGGCATTTAGTCTGCGCATCAATAAGTCATTAAAAACGCTGGTTTCATTTATTGCTATACAGAGATAGGAATTTCATGGAAATCAAAGCCGGGACAGGAGATTTTTCAAGTACGAAACGCTTGATTGCATAAGCTGGCTTGATTCATGACTCGCTGTGAATTCGCCCTATAGGTTAAGCATTGCAAGCTGAAGCCGTCATATGTGGCCATT